TAATGCCACAGCAGGGTTACCTGTTGTCCTAGGCCCCGCCGGTGGCTTGGACTGCCTTTTGGAGGGGATCAGAGTGTTGAAATCATTTTAGATTTGGATTCAGATGTGTCTTTTGCACTCTACAATCTTTGGAAGATGATTCTGCACAGAACCTAATGCCTAACCAAATGTGCTCACGGCTCACGAGATGTACATTTTCTAGGACAACATCGTCAGCAGTACATATTTTCTGGATCAACACTGTCTCGTTATTATGTAAAAATGTTTTTATTTGGGGTTGATCATGAGTCAAGCTTCGCTTTCAGATTTTCTGTTACTCTTTCCTGGGAGAGTTTCACTGAGAAAGCACAACGCCGTATACTTAACCTGGTTCCACAACGCACATACTACACAAGCTAGATTTCTGGTTAGTTGATGCATATTCGGGTAAAAGTATAAGTAGTTTGTCAAATATGAAGCTGGCTTCCCTGGATGCAAAGGTGGCTTCTTTGGCTATCGTGCTTGCATCTATAATTCGCATAAAGCAAGTGCAAAGCTGCAAATATTCGTGAATTTCCTTTTCGTCAGCAAAAATCCTGCTCAACAATATCTTATGCTGATAGAAACTTTTCTGGGTCGTTGGATATATCAAAACTGTATAAGAATTTTATGCAATCATAAAGAAAAGGAGTTGGAAAGGAAAATACATAAGCATACCTGATCAACTATGCCCATTTGTAAGAGGTGGGCAACTTGTTTAATATTTTACATTGGAAGCTATTATCCACTGTTCTTGCTTCGTATTGTAACAGTTCTATTATCAAAACTTTTCAAAAATTCCCAGGTCTCACTTTGAATAATGCTATGCTAAATGTCAATGTTTTATTTGAGCAGTTGGGTACAATTTCGATGTAGAATAGCTGTTCAGATTTCTTCTGTCTCCTTTTTTTTTGGAGGAAACAGGAGTGGACAGGCCCCTACTGATTATATATATTAAAAAAAGAGGAGAACGTTTGAAAAAGAAGGCAAAAAGACTATCTTGCTTAATTGAAGGGGCCTGATCCTTTTGTTACTTAGTCTTTTCATTTGTTCCATTATTTAGGTGAATGGCTGCACTGGTAAAATGGGGTTATCTGTCGCGGAGGCTGCTGCTCTGAGGGGCCTTCACCTAGTCCCTGTTTCATTCAGTAGTAGAGAGAAGGTTGAAAAAACAATACAAGTTGGACAAACAGACATTCAGATATATGGTCCTTCTGCGAGAGAAGATGTTCTTTCATCTGTCGCTGATGAATTCCCAGATGTCATTGTTGTGGACTACACAGCACCTGATTCTGTGAACTGTAAACAGTTTAGCCTTTTTATTTTCTCAATACGATATATAAAGTTCTTAGTACATGTTATGATCACTTTAGCTTTAGCTTTCACAATCATGATATTGCAGTTTGAGAATTGCTAGTTTGTGCTAATTACTAAACATGCTGTTATAACATCATTTTGCTGCTATGTTCACATCAAAATGTTTATTCAGGAATTTTTCTGTACATTTTTTGTTAGGTTCATGCTAATGATTACATTTCAGTTCTTACATGGCAGGATAACAACAATTATAAGAAAAATACATTTTTTATGCCTGTCAAATTTCACGTAGAAAATCTAAGCAGCTATCAAATTTAGTTCATTATTGCTGAAAGCCTTGAACTCTTGCTTTTACTTCTGAAAGCAAATTGCAGATTTTTTTATCGTTTTTTCTACCTTCAATGTGTCTCCTTTTTTTTATTGTTTTGAATACTCTATTCAACCCTGCACTATTCTTCTCATTTGAAACAAAAAATGAGACTCTTGCATTATGCAGCTAATGCTGAGCTCTATTGCAAGCTTGGCTTGCCATTTGTGATGGGCACAACTGGTGGGAACAAGCATTTGCTCTACAAGTCAGTGCAAGATTCAAAAAGTTATGCACTAATATCTCCACAGATGGGTAAACAGGTATGCTAAAAAAGAACTATCTATCTCAATAAGTTTAAAACTGTTAGTTTTCATTATTATACTTCAAATGTTGAAAACATGGATAACCTGTATAGTTTTCTTTCATTCTTCAATCAGGTGGTTGCATTTGTTGCTGCAATGAAAATCATGGCCGAGCAGTTTCCAGGGGCCTTTTCAGGCTATCATTTAGAGGTACAATTCTAACTTGAGTGTTTCCATATGAATTAAAAGTTCAGAGTGATGGTTCATTGTGTTTAAGGATTTAAACTTCTAATGGACCAACAATATATCATCTCTCAATCTTGACACATGTCTTGTGGAAGGATGCTCAGTGATTTAAGCTTCTTTGTAGGTTCTTCAATCAATTGTCTGGCCTGAAACTTAAAATGCTAAATTGCTAAATTTTGATATGTGGTCATACCATCTGCCAATACCTGTAATTCTGAGTGTCAGGATTCCTTTTTCCAGGTTTTAGAATCCCATCAAGCTGGCAAGCTGGACACATCTGGTACAGCTAAAGATGTGATTGCTTGTTTTGAGAAACTAGGTGTGTCATATGACATGAACCGGGTATGCTTTATCTTTTGTGCTTGAAAACTTTACTTCAATAATTCCGGTTATGAGAGAAAAGCTGTTTGTGCTCTGGAAAACACATTAATGCAGCTGAACCTACCACAATATTTTCATGGATCAAGATCTCTTCCATGTAAATTTCTTTTGTTGTTCTCATGAACTCTTGACATATCATTTTCAAATTGCAGATACCGAAATACTTCCTTGGATCGTAAATATAAGCATCTAGGTTTGTCCTAAGTTAAACTTTTTGAACTTTCACCATCAAATCTAATTTTTTGTATAAATTGACAAAACAAGATTGGCATTACTAGTTTCACCTTGAAAATACTTTCATAATATATGCTCTTTACACTTTTTCAATGATAATATACCTTTATAGACGAAGTTAGAAAAGTTTGACTTTGGACAAACCTACATGGACTTATATTTGTGATCGAAGGAAATAGCAATTATAGATAATAACCAAGTATTCTGTTGATATGAGGCTAAATGGTTTGAAGAATTCTAAGAAAAGCACTGTAGAATTTGACTAAAAAAGGGTGGTTCCTTGCAATCAGAAGGTGGAATTTAAGTAGGATGCCTCTAACAGTATATCCTATGTACATAACTGATTGAACAGTTGTGGATTTCCATGGAAAAAATTGTTCCATATTTTTTACAATATGCGGTCCATGTTTTATGCGCCCCCCCCACCCGCTTTTTTTTTATATTGAGTTGTGTTTTTATCCTCAAAAGGAAACCCCCATACCGCTTTCTATTACTATATTGTGTTACATGTTTTTATCCTCAAAAGGAAACAGAAATCTTACTATATTATCACTTCTCCTGATGACCTGTGCTGACAGATGGTTAAGATTAGAGATCCTGAACAGCAGCTTGAGATGGTGGGTGTCCCTGAAGAACACATTCAAGGCCATGCATTCCATCTGTATCGTCTCACTTCTCCTGATGACAGGTAATAACCATTCTCCTGAAAATTGATGATACCGCCAATAAAGTAATTATACTCAATCATGGATATTTTTATAGTCTTGCTAATACATCAGAGCAATTTGAAGCATGCTATTTTTTCATCTTTGTTGATTTAATCGTGTTCTTTTAGTGTTTCATTTGAGTTCCAGCACAATGTTTGTGGTCGTTCGATCTACGCTGAAGGAACTATTGATGCTGCAATATTTCTGCATAGGAAGGTTGGCTGATGTGTTACTTCGGTTATTTTTTTAAAAGTGGTGCTGCGTTTCAGATACTGCTGGTATCTTACATTCTTACTCGTATTCTTTAATGTAGGTACAATCAAAGGACTCTTAAGAGAATATATAATATGGATGATGTCCTGAGAGAAGGATACATGCGATAAAGTCTACTGATTAGCTGTTCATAAATAATATGCAGCACAGTATTGTTTTTTGTTAGTCTATGGGTTAGATATTAATAGAGTTGTGTGCGAATTAAATTAAAAGATTATGCACTAAGTTCTTCAAGTTTCTATCAAAACAAAAAACATATGAAAAAGAGAACATACATAAAAGGTATATAAGTTTGTTTTAAGGTCAAAGAGGGATCAACCTACTGTTCTAGAGGAAACATACATAAAAGGTGTATAAGTTGAAGTTTGTTTTAAGGTCAAAGAGCAATCAACGTAGTGTTATAGTAACGAAGCAAATTCATGAATTGTCATATTTATCATCTTTTTGTTCATCTATTCATGTCATGTCAGCTTATTTAATGCCATAAAACCCTCATAAAATTTTCATTGACAAACTCGCATTGAGACTGCCCTTACACTCTCCTCTGGATAAAATCTCCATGAGAGTTTGGTTTCATGAAGTAGTGCGCACCACTTTGATGTTTGGACGTTCATATCATTCTCTAGTTCAGTACGTAGATACCATGGAACAACATGTTTCTATACTGAGAGACTTTTGCAGCAGTTGTTCAGGGCAGAGTCAAAATTAGATGTTCCACATGTAATCTGATCGTCTTGATGAGTGCTATGCAATAGTGAACTCCATTTGATCATCTGAGATCAACTCTAAAATCGCATCGTTTTTTGTCGCTAAGATATTTAAGTGTTGTGCATTGCCCACCTTTACCCATTTTAGACTTTCGGGTAATTGGGTTGAATATGCGAGGTTCAATAGGAAAAATAACATGCTTCTGTTGATTGCAGTCATAATTTAATATTCCCAACTTCTTGCAGAGCTCTACTAAATAAAAACAGTTCACAGGAAGTTACACAAGGTTCAACTATCCCCAATAGATAGAATAGAACACACACTCTTAGACTGACCCAACCTTCATGCTGAACTTATCAATGTCACAGCCTTATTCTGAGGAAACTGCATAACCTGCAAAAACCAAGAAAACACTGACCAAACATTCTAGTGCTGAGTCTCCACCGCAGCAGGAGGAAAGAAAGGCAACAGCTTCTTGAAGAACGGGAGCAGCTTCTTGAAGAGCTACGGGCCAGTGACAGCGTCGCGCTGCGCCGGCGGGTGGTAGATTGGGGTTGGCTTCGGCGGCGAATACACCGGCGGCGTCGACGGCGCGGTGGGCGTCGACGGAGGCTTGTGCTCCGGCACGGGCACCGGCGCCGGTTTGTGCTCAGGAACGCCTACCGCCGGCGGCTTATCGGTGACAGGCGGAATGGAATGGCCGTGGCCGTGATCAGGCAGGTGAGGGATAACCACAGGCGTGTGGATTCCTACGTGATGGTGATGGTGCATAACGCTGTGGAAGAAAGGGTGGCAAAGGAAAGCCGAAGCGCACTCGGGCGACGAGCGGTAGACCTTGCCGCCGAGCGCAACGAACGTCTTCTCGGTGCCGTCGTGGCCACCGGGTGGCGCCGCGACCGCGACGATCTTGGACGGCTCCTGCCCGGGGCACGGCGCACTCGACGCGCTGTGGAGCTGCGCGAAGCATTCGGACTTGAGCTCCCCGTCCTCGCCAACGACGTCAGCCGCCAGCGGGACGCTGAAGGCGCCGGACTTGCCCACCTGTCCCACGGCCGTGCTCTCGTACTCGCCCTTGCTGTTCCTGCACTTCACGGCCACCTGAAGACCTGGGGAAAGTAAACGACAGACAAATCATTGACTAGCCAGCCAAACTGTCTACTACTATATCATGACACTGACAGGTTTGGGCTTGTGTAAACTACCTTTGAAAGCTGCCTCAGCGTTCATGTTCCTCCTGGCGCAATCGGAGCACTTGGCCAAGCCGACAACAACCGGCGTTGCTGTCTCTCCTTGCACGGCATTGGCGAAACCTATCGCTATCACAATGCCGAAAACGGCCACAAGTAGCAGTCGTGCTTGGATCTCCATCTAGCTCTACCACTTGTTCGGAGTTGTTGAGGAAGGAGAAGATGTGGATGGGTGGGGAGCAAGGAGTGGAACGCAGGCGTCTATAAATGGGTGCCGAGGTCTGACGACGCAGCTCGATCGCGTGAAGTTAAGTGAAACTAGTGAAGGGCCGAAGGCAACCTTGGCCAGCAGCCAGATAAATTGGGCGCCGCCTTTGTAGATCTACAGTTAATATGGCCCCTTGCAATGTGAGCAGCGTTTCCTTGGAGTCTACTCCTCCACGCACCGTAGCGCACGTGCATGTGGTCTGGTCATTGGCACACTGTCCACCGTTGTCTGACGACGCAGCTCGATCGCGTGAAGTTAAGTGAAACTAGTGAAGGGCCGAAGGCAACCTTGGCCAGCAGCCAGATAAATTGGGCGCCGCCTTTGTAGATCTACAGTTAATATGGCCCCTTGCAATGTGAACAGCGTTTCCTTCGAGTCTACTCCTCCACGCACCGTAGCGCACCTGCATGTGGTCTGGTCATTGGCACACTGTCCACCGTTGTATGGCCTTGCTCAAAAGTTGATCGATGTGCGAAATTCTTGAAAGCCAGAGAGTGAGGGACCGATCACCATTTTTACACTGAACTCGGTGAGATTTTATACGTACACACTAGCGACAATCATATTCCATGGAGAGAGTGAACTCTGCCGTTAGGTTACGTTGTGCTACTGCCTGCTGCCACTATTCTCTGCTGTGGAAATTCTTGGCCTCTGTTCAATTCCAACGCCACCTAGCACCTAACCTGGCAGTTCCAACTTACATCTGGATAACAAACACAACGGCACCACACCATGTTGCTCTCGATCGAGCCGAGACGGCGAGACCCCAGCTGCCGCGCGCGCCTTCGAACCAGGTGGCACTCGACAATTCTCGGCAGGCAGGCAGGACCGCGTGACGGGTGGTGGATGTAAGGAAACACAACTAAATTGGACTAATGAATTTACAAGTGATTATTTTGTAGTTCAATAGGATGCAAGACGTAACTTGGACAAAGGCGACGTGATGATCCGATGATCAACACATCAAGCAAGACCTTAGGAGTATAAAAGAAGACCCAAGATATCAAGTAAAGTCCAAAAGATAAAGATTGGAGCCAAGCAGCTGACCGGACGCAAGTTCGCGAAGAAACGAGCTCACAACAGCGACGGAGACGCTGAGGGCAAACCAACCGGGCGGACGCTGATGAAAAGTTCTAGACCGGCGAACTTGCCGATCAGAGGCGCAACGGCGGCAATCAGCAGCCCAAGAACGACGACGGACCAGCGTCCGATCTGGACAGCCGACCGACATGGCGAATTTCATCCCAAAGCAACTAGTGGAACATAGGACAGCAAATGAGCGTGGAGCCGATCAAGGGTGTTGTACAACCACATGCTTAGCGCTTAGTGCTCTATGTTTAGTGCTTAGGTTGATTAGACCACCGCTATGCGCTTGCTCTATGTTTAGTCCTTGTGTTTAGTGAGGTTTGCATACCTCTTACCACTCGGTGCTTGTGCGCACCATTGTTGTGTACATCGGAGGGGCTTGTAGTCTTGCGAGATCACACCAACGCGTTTGTGGTGTGGCCGCCACCGGAGGGAACAAGGAGGGAACAAGGCCAAAAGCTTGATAGTGAAGACGGCGGGGAGCATCCAGGAGAGGCTTGTTGGAAGGCACGTCGGAGACCCACTTGCGCGTGGGGAAGGCCCGAGTGTCGACGAAATATGGTCGGCAGTCTACCTAGGGGTATGCCCAAGGTAGTAGATTATCGGCAGACAGGTGCGCAAGCTACGAACGAGATGGTGACGCAAGACATACACGAGGTTTTATCCAGGTTCGGCCGCCGTGAGGGCGTAATACCTACATCCTACGTCTGATTGTATTGCTATATGTAAATGAGATTATTTTTTAGAAGGGTCCTCTACCCGCCTTATATAGTCTGGGGGGTAGGGTTACAGATGTGGAAACTAATCCCAACCGGTTACAATTGCCATAGGTGGCCGGATAAGGATTTCTATTCTAACCGACTAGGACCTTGTTTGATCTCCAAGTCTGCCTTGATTCCTTGCGCGGGACTACGAGCAGATCGTCTGGGCCGCGCGTCGTCTTCTGGTGGGCCGGACCCCCTGGTCTGGGCCGGCCCAAACCTAACCGTAAGGGTATAGGGGTTAATACCCCCACAGCTAGTCCCCGAGCACCATGTATTATGTTGCGACACGCTGTTTGATCTTCTTCGGCTAATGCGGTCTGTCTTCATGTCATCTCCAACTGGTTGAAACATTGACCAAGCAAATGCGCCAAGATTCAGTCGGTCTGAGAGAGAGCGAAGAGACCACGATTATAGCCAAGATTCCGGTTGTCCCAAGAATGCATGGTGCTCTAAAAAAAACAAAAAGATTTTTTTTTACGATCAAGTGTGCCCACTTGTATTTTTACGAAAAGAATTGTAAGTGACCCTTGTATAGGAGTAGTTATGGCCTTGATCGAGCGTAGAGGGGTCGATAAAATAAGCACATTCACCGCAAGGTGAAGTGTGCCCACTTAGTCCCCGAGCCTGATAGTAGATGACGTAGGCACGTGGTGCCATGGTCTAAAAAATAATTCCCAGTTATGTTGAGAATCCAATCGTCGTACAGGCGATACGAGCTGCACTGACAGGTGCATCGTACCGATGTAGTCCCCGAGCTTGTTGGAAGGTGAGGTATGAGCCTTGTAGCAAGGTCTAAGTGAGAAAAAAATATCCCAACTGTATGCGAGTAGACAGTGGCATGTAGTCGAGACATGAAGTCCTCGAGCTGTGGTCGGAGAGTGGTCGAGGCAGTCCCTGAGCACAGGTCGAGGAGCGAGCAACGAAGTCCCCGAGCTGTGGTCAGAGAGTGATCGAGGCAGTCCCTGAGCGTAGGTCGAGAAGCGAGCGACGAAGTCCCATGCGTAGCTCAAAATTCCTGCAATATAAATATGTAGAATGATAGTACATGATGTACAAAATAATAAATTATGGAGAAAAAATCAGCGGTGAAGAAATAGCGTATGACGCTCAGCAGTCATTTGCAAATAAGCATGATGTGATAAAACAGTTGGTGCTTTGTAAACATCAGTTAGAATATGGTCGGGATAGAGCGACAGTGTTTGTGTCGCCACCCCCTGGAGTAGAGTGGCCACAAGGAGCTGATCCCACCACCCAGACCAGCGTCGAGATTGAGGACGAGGACGTCGACTGGGCGGAGCTCGGAGCTAGAGAGGAGGCAGCGGCCAAAGCTGTTGGTAAGCGACCGGCTGCCCCCAAACAGTCGAAGAAGAGATCAGTAACCACCCTGCTCATCGGGGGAGCGCTAAGTATCAATGAGCCCGAGGAGAACCCGGCCAGCAAGCGTCGGCAGGCGATTTTTGCTTGGCCTCGCACCGTAGCGCACCTGCATGTGGTCTGGTCATTGGCACACTGTCCACAGTTGTATGGCCTTGCTCAAAAGTTGATCGATGTGCGAAATTCTTGAAAGCCAGAGAGTGAGGGACCGATCACCATTTTTACACTGAACTCGGTGAGATTTTATACGTACACACTAGCGACAATCATATTCCATGGAGAGAGTGAACTCTGCCGTTAGGTTACGTTGTGCTACTGCCTGCTGCCACTATTCTCTGCTGTGGAAATTCTTGGCCTCTGTTCAATTCCAACGCCACCTAGCACCTAACCTGGCAGTTCCAACTTACATCTGGATAACAAACACAACGGCACCACACCATGTTGCTCTCGATCGAGCCGAGACGGCGAGACCCCAGCTGCCGCGCGCGCCTTCGAACCAGGTGGCACTCGACAATTCTCGGCAGGCAGGCAGGACCGCGTGACGGGTGGTGGATGTAAGGAAAAATGGCCCTAGGTCTATTTACTTTGGATTTTGTTGTTTGATAACCAACACAACTAAATTGGACTAATGAATTTATAAGTGATTGTTTTGTAGTTCAATAGGATGCAAGACGTGACTTGGACAAAGACGACGTGATGATCCGATGATCAACACATCAAGCAAGACCTTAGGAGTATAAAAGAAGACCCAAGATATCAAGTAAAGTCCAAGCATAAAGATTGGAGCCAAGCCGCACGCAAGTTCGTGAAGAAACGAGCTCACAACAGCGACCGGACGCTGATGAAAAGCGACCGGACGCTCCGATCAGAGGCTCGGCAACCGCAGCAGCGACCGGACGCTGGACCGAACGCTGAGGGCAAACCAACTGGGCGTAGGACAGCAGCGTCCGATCGAGTACAGAGAGGTTCTAGAGCAGCAAACTTGCGACTGGACGCGTCCGGTGGCAAGTGATCGGACGCTGGCAACGTCCGATCAGTTGTTCACGGCTCCAACGGTCGGGACGACCGGACGCGTCCGATCAGGATAACTCCAGCATCCGGTCAGTAGCAGAAAAGCGGGATTTCATCCCCAACGGCTACTTTCTCAGTGGAACTTATAAATACAACCTCCAACCGGGCAAATAAGGTGTGTGGAGCTAAGAAAACATATCAAGGGTGTTGATACACTATTTTTGTGATCTCCACATGCTTAGTGTTTAGTGTTTTATTAGATGATTAGCGTAGGTGCTTTGCGAAGTGCTTAGGTTGATTAGACCACCGCTTATGTGCTTGCTTTAGGTTTAGGCCTAGTGTTTAGTGAGGTTTGCATACCTCTTATCACTCGGTGTTTGCGTGCACAATTGTTGTACATCGGAGGAGCTTGTAGTCTTGCGAGATCACACCGACTGCGTTTGTGGTGTGGCCGCAGCTTCGCGTGAAGTTAAGTGAAATTAGTGAAGGGCCGAAGGCAACCTTGGCCAGCAGCCAGATAAATTGGGCGCCGCCTTTGTAGATCTACAGTTAATATGGCCCCTTGCAATGTGAACAGCGTTTCCTTCAAGTCTACTCCTCCACGCACCGTAGCGCACCTGCATGTGGTCTGGTCATTGGCACACTGTCCACCGTTGTATGGCCTTGCTCAAAAGTTGA